TATTATTAGAGCTGGACATGAATAGGTTTGGTTTTGTTCTAACGAGAACCAATCTGAACTTGAAATTTTCGGGTATTTAGTAGATGGAATCGTTCGGGTTTGATTTAATTTCATTGGGTTCCCATGTTCGGTATTATAATTAAATTTTTTAATATTTACAAAACTATATTAGTTCAAGTAATGATATATTCAATTTTAGTTCTTACAAAATAACGTAGTATAATCTTATGTATCTTTTTATTGAGTTCTTCATAGATTTGATTACTAAAATCACAGGAAAAGGAAGATAGCGAACTCACAATAATTAAGAGAGACGTTGTCGAGTTTCAATTCGATTTTTTCCAGAACGATATAAACGACACTACGGTAGAGTAATAAGTTTAAATAAAACTTAAGTCAATTTGATTAAGTTAGCTTTGAACTGAAGTTGGAAATAGAAAAATCACATTTTTGGGTTTGAGTTAAATTAACTATTTAGCAAATTCATTTAGAAAAAGTAAAATAATTTGACATATTTAAAATAAATTAATTAAAAAATTTGGAAGATTCGATTTTTAATTTAGAACCGAGAACCGAACCAAATCTGTCAATGCTCGATTCAGATACCCATTCAGATATTTAACTTAAAAAGAATAGCTCGGTCCGATTCGAGAGTTTTATCCAGCCCTACATATTATATCCCTTGATAAATGAAAAAATCAGGCCAAACTGAAGGGAAATTGGCGCAAATGATACCAAATCTTTGTCTAAATTGTATTTTTAATTTTAAACCTTTCAAATTTAGCATAAACGATCTCAAAACTTTTCCTTTTTCTTCGTTCTTTTTGCACAAAGTACTTTCGGAAGGAATTCAAAAAGATTGTCAGTTTTGTGCTGGCAATGCAATTGTCCATATTTTGTTTTTATTTCAAGGGGTAGTTTGGTTAAACGACATTCTCCTCTAAAAAACAAGGCACTCCAATTAGGGATAAATTCTAGGCTAGGGCTCGAGTAGGGTAAAATGTCTGAACTTTTTTTCGGGCCGGCTCGGGCCTTTCCAAGCCAAGCCGGCTCAAGATTTTTTTTTTTTCGGGCACCAGGTTGCTGCCTTAAATGGTAGCAACTAACTTTAGTTGGTAGCAGCGGGCAGCGTGTTGTGCCTTTATTTTTTTTAATATATGCTCGATTCTCTCGAGTCAGCGAGCCACACGGGTCGACTCGGGTTTTGCCTAGCATCTAAAAATGGGGCTTGGTCAGAGTCTTCAGCTGAGCGAGTTTGAGCTTTTTTCAAGTCGAGTCGCGAATGGTCCAAACCGACGATCTCGATTGCCATCCCTACCTTCAACATAACATAAAAATAATTCAGAAACAAAAAGATAAAAAGTTATTCTTCCACCCACCCCATTAAATTAGGTAATCAATATGACTATTCTCATTTATTGTTTTCTAAACATCATGTAGGACATCACAATATTTAAGATTTTTGCAGTTTTGACGATCCTATTGAACAACGGCACCTAAGCATATTAAAGAGAAGAATAATGCTATTTGCAGTCGCTCACTGCGACAGTCGCCCTACGTGGCATACTCATGGCAGGTAGTTATTTGATACATTAATGAATAAAAAAATTACCACATTAATGCATTAAATAATCACCTACCATGTGTATGCCACGTAGGGCGATTACCACAATGAGCGACTACAAATAGCATTACTCGAGAAGAGAAATAACGTATTAAGTACTATTACTTAATTATGCTAAACAACAATGAACATGTTACATCAATTAATTGGTGAAAAAAGTTATAATGGAGTGTTCAGAATTAAATTAATTTTTTTGAATTGATGTGTCATGCTGTTGTATAATATATGTTAAGCCCATGTTTAAACCCCATTTTTTAAAATTTATTTTCAATTAGCTTAACCAAACAGGGGCTAATTAACAATACTCAATAGATTACTTCTCTTTCTACGAACACTTAAATATACAAATTGTATGAAGTATGGTACATCAACTGCACCGAACTAATAAGAGAAAGAGAATTAAAAATAAAAAATAAAAAATTTGCCCATAACATGCTGTAATATTGTGTACGAATGATACTATATATTTTACAACTTTCAAAGCCTACAGACATAAATTATAACATCAACAATTCAATGTTTTAAGTTAATTGACAAAAGAAGTATAGACCACAAAAAGGTAGAAAAATAATTCTTTTAGTAACAACTATACTTTTAATCATGTATTTATCCTTCAATTTTAATTAATTAGGTTATTGCACTTTATTTTTATTTCAATCAAGTAACCATGTTCAATTTCGTCAGTTTCACTAGTGAAAAATCGTTAGAATAACTGTCAATAAATGATGGCCATCATCTATTAAACTCAAGTTGCATTTATTCTACGTCAACAACTAACATCCACAAGGTGATGATTATCATTTATTGACTGTTATATTATCGATTTTCATAAGTTGAATTAAATCAAGTTATCCTAATTGAAATCAAAGTATAATGTTGTCACTCGATTGAGATCAGACTATAGTGAAGTTACTGAATTGAAATGAAATGAAATCACTTGTGCAAAATTAAAGTACAAAGTATGGTTATGGTGAATAGAATTTATCGAAGAATAACTTAGTCTTACACCGTCAGCATCCTTTTTTTTCTTTTTCTGCAAAAGTACTGTTTTCGAGAAAACCGGAAAGGAAATCAAGTGTTAATGTAGAAAATGTCTTGTAGTAAATTGTAGAAGTTTGTGGTTTATTTGGGGGTAAAGGAACAATCTTTATCAGATTAGGACATAATTTGGAAGAGTAGTAATAAAAATCTTCACGAAACCTTAATTTCAAATCTTCTTCTTTGCATTCATGCAGACGACACACGTTCATAATCATATATGCTCTTTATTTCATTCTACGTGTCATGTTTTTAACTAAACTTTAGTCATTTTCTTACCAACCTTTGGCATAAAATAATGCATAATTTAACTTCATGAGAAAGTTTTTATTTATTTATTTTTTTTAAATTAAAAAAAATTTAGTTCAAACTTAATAATAAAAAATATACAAATTGTCTTCTTATTCAAATCTTGATTTTTAGTTCTGTTATGATGAATGACTGTATAACTGTGACGTAATGCTTACACAAATCATACGTCATGCTTCCAAGAGGTTTCAGCACAAGAAGAAGAGTTGCTACAGTGGGCCAACAAATTAGGTATAGTAAAGCCAGCAAATTTATATTATATTATGGATATTTTTCTAGTTAATGTTATTTACCTTTAAAATTTCCCATTCTTATGGGAGACTTTAATATACAATTTTTTTGTTTCAACAAAACTCAATAATTTTAGAAAAACATTGGCCCGTATATATGTGATGTGTCAACTCACCTCGGCTCGTCATATATTATATGAGTTAGGTCGAGTCGATCAGTAGGTGAACTAAGCAGCTCGCCTTATTCCAGTTAACATCTCTAATAGTAACTAGATCCAAACAGCTATTTACTCGAAAAAAAAGATCTTTACAAAATCCTAAAACCAAACTCGAATGACCTCGTCTAGTGCTAAAAGGCTAAGTACGCTCGTAACCGATCGAAACCTTCGTGAAAAGCTACCAAATGTCCTACGATTTTCTCTTCTACATCATTCTTCTTTTAAGAAAAGTAAAAAAAAGAAAAGAAAAATAAAGAAAGATAATCCCAAATACTATCCGCATGCAAAATAAGTTATCCTTTCTTATGTATTAAAGATTCGCATAACAGTGGAGAATAAAATATAAAGGGTGCAGGTGAAAACGCATGGTTACTAGAATCGTGTGGAATGCCCATAATTACGTTAATTAAGCAATTATTGTACTTATAATTAAATAAAATATGTGCCAAATCGACAAAACCACAGACAACATAATACCACTACAGGAGGCCATGTGTATCAAATTAAGGTTGTATTACATCGAAAATCATGCCCAGTTGTCTCATCATATAAAAATCAAAGTTCAGATTACAAGATTATGTCAAGATAAGAATGAGTTCACTTCCATCTCCTATCCTACTAAATTAAAATTGTAAAAATGAACAAAATTTTAACTTTTTTCTTCTTTCTGTCAAACGCATTGTAAGTTATCTTGACGTACAAAACATGTTATTGAAGTCGGTTTCGAGAGAAAAACAAGTGTTAGTGAAATTAGGTGCTGATAATTGGCTCTATGAGATCTTTAGGGTGTGAGGCTGGCAAGATTAGGATTTAGTTCCACCAATTATATAATGCACCTATCCAAACTCTTATCAATATGTAGAAAAAGGAATGCAAGTGATTATGAATACAGACTGGATGATTTTTTCATCTTTTCAATATGAGTTGAGTCTTGGTTAAAAAAATAGTGAAGTGGTTGACAATAATTCAAGAATTTAGTAGTAAATACCCATAACTGATTGGTCAAGTCTCAACTAATACTCATGTGCTATGCTACAAATTTGTACTACTATTGTTGAGTGTATGTAGACGAGACATCTGATTAATTATGTCACATGACTGTTAGACAGGTCGATATGGCGGTAATGATTATAGTAATTGACAAGATAAAAGAAAAAAATAAACAGTCTAGTACGTGATAAAAATATGCTCGAAAGTGGAAGAATACTTGTCTTGATATCCAATGAAAAGTGAAAAACCTCTACAAAATAATATGAATAATTGAAGTTTAGGTGACAAGAAACATAAGTATATGCATTAGTACAATTGCAGCTGAAGTTAAGACATGTTTTGGCGTGGAAAAAGTAAGTTGCTGAAACCTAAGCACAGAGATAATAGCAATTTGACAATTGCAGAAATCTCACTCACGAGCCTAAACGACGAGCAAACACTCGATCATGAGAGCAATGGATTGCCGACGATTGGATGAGCGCAAAGGCGGTGTGAGGCCAAAATCCCATATAAACTTGGTACTATTTCTCTTATATTATACAGAACCTTCCTCACCAAACTGCAACTACTCATGTCCCACCATTAATAAGTCAACAATAAGAGTCCCTTCCGTCCGTCTTTATATTTCCCATAAGCATCTTTTCTTTCCAAATCAAATCATTTTCCCTGCCTCTTCAAATTCCTTATTTATAAAGTCACAATTAAAGCTGATCAATTTATCCTCTGTTAACTCCAAATTTCCTGCAGATCTATAGAGGAGGAAAGAGAACAAGATGTTAAGAGCTGTACTGATTTCTTGTGTTCTCTTGTCTTTCTGTTTATCATCATCTGCTCAATTATGTGCAAAATACAACTTTGCCAGTAACCAAGTTTTCAGTTCCTGCAATGATCTCCCATATTTGAATTCATTTCTTCACTGGAATTACGACTCCTCTTCGAAAACAGTTAGAATGGCCTATCGACATGCAGGTGTCACGGGCTCTAAATGGGTCGCGTGGGCTATTAATCCAAGGTCTCAAGGCATGGTTGGCGCACAAGCACTCGTGGCTTTCCAGAAATCTGATGGAACCATGAGAGCTTATACAGCACCTATCACTGCTTATCAGACTCGGTTGCAGGAAGGAGATTTGAGCTTCCCAGTTTCAGATTTATCGGCAGTGTATTCAAAGAATGAAATTATTATTTTTGCCACGCTGAAGCTGGAAAACTTAACCTCTACCGTTAACCAGGTTTGGCAGGATGGTCCACTTTCAGGAGATGCCCCTGCAATGCATCCTACATCTGGTTCTAACGTCCGATCCGCGGGGACCCTAAATCTTCTTTCAGGAGAGTCAAGAACAACAGCAGGGGCATCAAACTCCCAAACAAAGAAAAGAAATGTAAGTGACTAAGTGCTTAAATCCTTATATGACCATCTATTAAATTGTTCTCAGAATGAAAAAATCCAGTTTTTCTTAATGTAGTAGTTCTAAAAATTATGTATTCACAAAAGGAATATACTTTTGCCTTTGTAATTAAAAAATCTGAACGAATGACTATGGGTTATTGAATATGCAGATCCATGGAGTACTGAATGCAGTGAGTTGGGGTATCTTGTTGCCTATTGGTGCTTTATTCGCAAGGTACTTGAGGGTCTTTCCATCTGCTGATCCTGCTTGGTTTTATCTTCACGCAACTTGCCAAACCTCGGCCTACATCGTTGGAGTTGCCGGCTGGGCCACCGGTCTCCAGCTAGGAAGTCAGTCTCCCGGAGTTCAATACACGTCCCACAGGACCATAGGAATAGTTCTCTTCTGTCTAGGAACCCTCCAGGTAATAATAGATTTCATCAAATGCTTGACATCTAAATCATTTTCGGATTTTGTTTGATCTCTAACAAGAGATGGGAATGTAGCGCATACTAAAGTTTCTGTTTGATACAGGTATTTGCTTTGCTTCTAAGGCCGAAAAAGGACCACAAATACAGATTTTACTGGAACATCTACCACCACTCAGTAGGATACGCAGTCATCGTGCTAAGTATTATCAACATTTTCAAGGGGTTCGACATATTAAATCCCGAGAACAAATGGGAGAGAGCCTATATTGGGATCCTGGTGGTTCTGGCTTCTTTTGCTGCAACATTGGAAGCTTATACATGGTATGTA